AGTACTGAACTACATGGCCCCTCATCAGTTATTGTACCCTCAGTCTCCTTTATTTTCCATCCCCATGAGAATCTTTGGTTGTCAGGCCTTTGTCCATGATTCATCTCCATCCCGAGGTAAGTTAGACCCTCGGTCCATTCCTTGTGCCTTTCTGGGGGTACCCCTCCTCTCAAAAAGAGTATCGGTGCTTTGACCCAGTTAGTCGTAAATTTTTTGTGTCTATGGATGTGTCCTTCGTTGAGTCCGAGCCATTCTTCCCTCCTCCTCAGGGGGAGAGTCATAGTGTGGAAGAGGAGAAGCAGGTTCAGGTATCTCTTCCTTCTATTCCGGACCTTACTCCCTTCCGTGTCTTCCAACGTACACGTCGGAGAGATCAGCGGTGTGATAGAGATGTGGAGCAGCCAAACACTGAGCAACTGACATCATCAGACTCCTAGGAGGTAAGTCCACCCCCTAACCCTACTCCTACTGTGGATGACCTTGACATTCCTATTGCCCAACAAAAGGGAGCCAGGTCCTGCACTACCAAACACCCCATTACCCACTTTATCTTCTATGACCACATTTCCCCCTCGTACCGAGCCTTCCTATCGGCAGTTGATTGCATCCATGTTGCCAAAAATGTTGCAGAAGCCTTAAAATGCCCTGAATGGGTAGATGCCATGAAGGAGGAGATTAATGCCCTCCACAAAAATCAGACTTGGGAATTGGTGGATCCTCCAAAGGGGAAAGACCCCATGGGGTGCAAATGGGTGTTCACAGTTAAGCACAAGGCAGATGGAACGGTTGAAAGGTACAAAGCAAGACTAGTGGCCAAAGGGTACACACAAGTATATGGAGTTGACTATGATGAGACTTTGCCCCGGTGGCTAAGATGAACTCAATTAGGGTTCTCCTGTCCTTAGCTACTAATCTTGACTAGGAATTGCATCAACTGGACATAAAGAATGCTTTCCTGAATGTTGACTTAGAAGAAGAGGTATACATGGTTCAACCTCTTGGATTTTGTGCCAATGGGAATGAAAATAAGGTGTACAAGCTAAGAAAGTCTCTCTATGGCTTAAAACAGTCTCCCAGAGCCTGGTTCAGTAAGTTTCACATGGCAGTTCAATAGACGGGATTCAAATAATGTCAGTCTGATCATACACTCTTTGTGAAGAGATGTCAGGAACAGGTTGTTGTTTTGATAGTGTATGTAGACGATATCATCATTACAGGAARTTGGAGCTCAGARATACARAACTTGAAACAATTCCTTGCATCKAAATTTGAAGTGAAAGATCTAGGACTCCTGAAGTATTTCCTTGGGATTGAAGTTGCCCGCTTAGAAAAGGGTATCTTTGTCTCTCAAAGGAAATACACCCTTGATCTATTACGGGATACAGGTAAATTAGGTGCAAGGCCGGCAGATACTTCTATGGATGTGGACCACAAGCTAGGTGACTGTGTTGGTGAACCTCTGAAAGATGTAAAGCAATTCTAAAAGTTAGTGGGAAAGTTGATTTATCTGTCCATGACCCGTCCAGACATTGCCTATTCCGTTGGGGTCCTGAGCCAGTTTATGCACTCTCCTAAGAAGCCACACATGGARRYAGYAGAGAGAGTCCTTAGATACTTGAAGAAATATCCAGGAACAGGCCTACTATTCAGTAAACACAATCACCTAAATGTGGAAGTCTTTACAAATGC